CCCAAAAGCTATGGCTTACTTGAACAGGTCTACCACCTGTAATACAGTTTCCCTCTTTTCCTACTGCTTTCCAACTTACCAAGCATCATAATTTCCCCCAAAGTATTGTGTGATTCATGATATTCCCCAAATACAATAGCTTGATCATTTTGGCTTTTAGGGTGGTTTCATCTTTGGTTTGCTGCTAGGCCTATTTATGTGTCATTATTAAAAGTCCAAGGTATCTGTAGAAGTTTTCTCCAACACCATGTTTCAAATGTGTAAATTCTTTTCCTTTCAGCATCCATCACTATTCAGATTTTGCAGCTCTTCGTAGAATTGAAATAAATGTCATGGATTATGTTGGTGGATTTTGGCGAAGAATGACTCCAGCCTGTATCTGGCTATTGGAATATAGTCAAGTGCTTCTCCAACCCCCCCTTATTTGGGGGGGGGGTGTCATAGGCCCCATCTACACTGCCATATAAAAATCTAGACTGTCTGCTTTGAACTGGATTATATGGCAGTGTAGACTCATATAATAAGATTATCTGATCTGATATTCTGGATTATATGGTAGTGTAGATCCATAGTGACACATAGAGTCCTGGGGTGGTGATTGTTGTTCATTCGTTCAGTCGTCTCCGACTCTTCGTGACCTCACGGACCAGCCCACGCCAGAGCTCCCTGTCGGCCGTCACCACCCCCAGCTCCTTCAAGGTTAGTCCAGTCACTTCAAGGATGCCATCCATCCATCTTGCCCTTGGTCGGCCCCTCTTCCTTTTGCCTTCCACTTTCCCCAGCATAATCGTCTTCTCTAGGCTTTGCTGTCTCCTCATGATGTGGCCAAAGTACTTCAACTTTGTCTCTAGTATCCTTCCCTCCAATGAGCAGTCAGGCTTTATTTCCTGGAGGATGGACTGGTTGGATCTTCTTGCAGTCTAAGGCACTCTCAGAACTTTCCTCCAACACCACAGTTCAAAAGCATCTATCTTCGTTCAGCCTTCCCTAAGGTCCAGCTCTCACATCCGTAGGTTACTACAGGGAATACCATGGCTTTGACTAGGCGGATCTTTGTTGCCAGTGTGATGTCTCTACTCTTTACTATTTTATCAAGATTGGACATTGCTCTCCTCCCAAGAAGTAATCGCCTTCTGATTTCCTGGCCACAGTCTGCATCTGCAGTAATCTTTGCACCTAGAAATACAAAGTCTGTCACGGCCTCCACATTTTCTCCCTCTATTTTCCAGTTGTCAATCATTCTTGTTGCCATGATCTTGGTTTTTTTTATGTTTAGCTGCAACCCAGCTTTTGCGCTTTCTTCTTTCACCTTGATTAGAAGGCTCCTCAGCTCCTCCTCGCTTTCGGCCATCAGAGTGGTGTCATCTGCATATCTGAGGTTGTTGTTGGTGGGGTGGTGATAGGCAAGCAGAATTAAGAGTTCCAAATATAGAACTCTTACACTACATACAATCATTTGGGATCTTGGCCTTCATATGGTAATTTCATAATGATATCTTACGGGTGAGATTATTCAGTGAAATAAAGAAGTAACATTATCAACCAAACTGCAGAGGACTCGGGTAGGTGCAACAGTCTGAGGAGAAGCATGAGCAAAGAAGCTGCATGGAAAACACAATTCCACCCAACAGAAGATTGAAAAGCAACAGGAAAAGGCTCAAGAAGCAAGTCAGAAGTTATGACTTGAGAATACCCAAATAAGGATTTCAAAATTGCGGCAGAGCTTCAGAAAGTTTTGTTTCTAGAGTTTGATGCAGATGGAAAAGAAAGTCTTCTGTACTAATTCCAATCTAGAAGGGTCCAATTACCAACTTCCAGACAATTACCAACTTCCAGACAGGGTTTAAAAATCCCAGGACACCTCAATCTCGGGACTGGGTCCCCAGCCACCCACCCTCATAGGCTTCCTCTGTATCGGAACGAGATGGAGGGCAAACAGGAAACATCCAGCAGAAGTCGTTTTTTTAAAAGAAATATATTTTTATGTGCTGGACTGTATATGAGCACATGTAAATATCTTAATATAAAGATATACAAATTCGCATGTGTGCATATGAGGTTCATCTCTTAATTGAGGTTTTTTTAAAAAAAAAACTTCTGCTGGATTTCTGTCTTCCCCCAATTGTTTATTCAACCTCTGTTTAATATTATAAAGTGTAAAATAAAGAGTTTCGGAGAGTTCTAATTGCTCTCCATTCATGCTTCCTTTAAATCACCTGTGTGTCCATTTCACAGCCCAATCTTCTGATCAGCTGTTTCGGGCTTTTAAAAAGTGGACATGTGCTGGAGCAATCTGCACAGGGGAAGGGAAGGAAGTCACGTGTTTTTTGTTAGTGCAGGGATATACAGTGATGCGAATATGCACATTTTCTGGCCGGAATCAGGATATAAGTGGACCTTTTAAACACATATTTTGCATCTGTTGCAGCAAATCCACATGGATTTACTGCTAGCATCATGTAGCACCCCCTTTTAACCCAATAACGTCCACCTTTTAGGTGCTGTTCAGATGGGCCCCTAGATGGGTGGAGTCAGCCTGAGACTTCACAGGTAAGGTAGCCACCTGGTGTTCAGTGGTTCACTACAGTGGGCAGCCAGAAAAGCAATACAAAAATCCATAGTCTGAAATTATCCACATGGAAGGCCGAGACAGTGGCATTTTTGCTTTCTGATAGTTTGCTTCATTTTTAATGTCATAATGTTTTGATTTTATATTGTTGTGTCGCTTATATACATTGGTTTTGTATTTTAGGTTATTTTATTTTCTTATTTTCTGTTGTGTTTTTGTGTTATATTGTCTATATTGTATTGATGGGTGTGGCCTCACGTAAGCCGCCCCGAGTCCCTTTGGGGAGATGATGGCGGGGTATAAATAAAGTATTATTATTATTATTATTATTATTATTATGCAGTTATTTAATTATTGTTTAGTCCACTGAATACTAGAACACACATTAAAAGCGTTACACAGAATTAGCTTAAAGCACATAACGAAAATGGGCAAAGTTATCAAAAATAACATTTATGATATAACTTTCCCTTCTAATGCAAAAGCACATTTGTCATTTTAAGGCCCCCATTAAAAACCTAAGTAATCTTTGCAAGGCAGAGGCCTTATTTTTGTACTTTGCTTTTAATTTCCTATCAATTACATCAAATGTGACAACCTGTGTATTAATGAAAAAATATCTACTAATGTAGATGCTATAGGTGCAATCTTTTTTAATGTAGCTATGCAATTGCATTTTTCAACAAAAATGAACATGGTTTCAGTATAAAGAAAACAGGCATTTTCCTCCCATGATTTACAGTCACATGAATTTCTACAGGAAAGTACCAGTTACTCAGAAACTCCTGGCTGATGATACTTTTTGACATCTGCTCTTTAGCAATACAATGGACATTTCTGCAACAAAACTGTCATCTAAAGGCTGGGGGGTGGGATACCAGGAAGAGGAATAAATACATCAATAGGAAATAAATAAAATGGGAAGACATGTTTCTTGCTAACTAGAAACTATACACTTTTTTTAAAAAAAAAAGTTTGGTTTCTGATGTGTTTGTTATGGTTAACTTTGCATCTAGTGAAAAATATGGCAAGATTTTTTTTTGGTTACAGTATTACGGTGTTAGGGAGACCCCTTGTGGTCAAGATATAGATATTTTCTGACTCCAACGAATCACAGCTTGGAATGTGGAGACACGAATAGAACAAACAAGTCAAGGAAATCTAAAACAGAGAGGTTGGATATCCCTATGGATTAAATGATAGGTGTGACTGGACAATTTATGGACAATCATAGAGGCATGCCCCAGGACACAGAGTGGTGTTGTATCAGGTTTTATTCATGGTTTTCCTATTTCAAGGGAGTCCTGCACCTCCGCCCCTTTCAAAAGCGGAGTGCTTAATGTATATCTAACACCCATAACATTTTTTTAGCAGGGGAAATGGGGAAAATACTGCCCAGTAGGAGAAGCCAACAAATGCATTAAAATCAGGTCAGGAGAATCCAGTCCAATTTTAATGCATTGAATGAGGTGTGAGTCTACGATAGAATTAATACAGTTTGGCACCTCTTTACCTGTGAAAGCTCAATGCTATGGAATCATGGGATTTGTAGTTTGGCGAGTCACCAACTCTGTTTGGCAGAGAAGGCTAAGGACCTTATAAAACTACAACTCTTATTCCAAAGCAATGAGCCATGGAAATTAAAGTGGTATCAAACTGTTTTAATTCTATAGTGTAGATGTGCCCTGTTAATTTGGAGACTGGCGTTTTAATCCTTGCTTAGCTATGGAAACCCACTGGGTAAATTTGGGTAAGTCACATTTTCTCAGATGAAGGCAAAGTCCTGTACATTTGTCAATCAAGTTAATTCATTACCATTATTGCATTGCTACAATTAATGCTTGAATGCTTGGTCCCATAGCCATGTCTTAAGCTTTTTTCTGAAGGTCAGGAGAGAGGGGGTTTGGGGGGGGAGTTCCACAGATGAGGGGCCACTACTGAGAAGGCCTGTCCCTCTTGTCCACTAGTCATGCCTGCGAGGTGGATGGAATTGAGAGCAGGGCTTCCCCCAATGATCTTATGCGGATCATAGAGGGAGAGACATTCAGACAGGTAATTATTGTTAAATAAATAAATAAATTATAAAACTACTTATCATAATTCACAAAATCTGTTGATCCAAAAGTGCCATTTGTTATTTCTGAATACATCATTTAATCATATTTCCAAGGCAATACTCTCAAGTCAGGCCAAATCCATAAACCTGTAATATCTTTTCTCGTTCCTGTCTCTTATTTTGCCCATTCTCCCATTGTACTATTCATTTGTAATCGGAAATCATGAGATTTGCCTCTGCCTGGTGAGTTTATGTTGTGTAAGCAGTACAGACACTGCAGTTATGCTATACTGGAAACAATGAACCAGGAAGACAAAACTCAGTAAAAACCCAGCTAGATCTAGTGACTCTTGGTTAAAGTCTTCTGAAGTCAAAGACAAGAAGCACTACTTTCCGAGCACAGGGAGGCATCTGCTTCTTTCATCCACTATGCCTGGCTGTTCAGAATTTTACTTCAATGTGGACCACGGTTATCTAGAGGGATTGGTTCGTGGCTTCAAAGCTGGAATCTTGCAAAACTCAGACTATGCCAACTTGGTACAATGTGAAACACTGGAAGGTGAGTTGAGATAAACTGAAGTTCAATTTTGTGACATTAAATATACCATTAGTGCCTGGATAGCTATGTCTCAGGAATTTGCAAGGAGCATGTTGAATGTTATGTTTGATGAACTAACTTTGAATGGAATAGGATTTTAATAATATTACTAAAATAGATGGAGAATCAAACAGGATCACCTCCAGAAGAAATAACTGAAATGAGAAAATGGTGACCGACACTGTAGAAATAATGCACTGTAGAAATTATGCAAAGTTTGGAAAGTTTACTTGCTTATGCAACAGCTTTCCAAATACTTTTGGCCAACATATCAGTTTATGACTGGGAGATCCCTTTTTGAGCTATAGTCCAAAAAATGAACTTTCAGAACCCTAGCCCTTGTCCTAATCCCAAGATTCAGGTCTGTCCTATTGGTAGCTCAATGCTCTATCATATTGGGATTATATGTATTCTGTTCATATTAATATCCTGGGCCATTTTCATATCAAGCCACTGCATCAGGTCAACAGGACTAGTGTCTTACACTCAATAATTTGTCTTCTTATTACAGGCTATGTCGACAATTGTTTTGCTGTTGCTACTATTGCTTAGCAAGTAAAACAGCAAACATTAGTAGCAATAGATGATCCTCAGTATCCCATTTTGTATAAAACAGTCTTGCTCTATAAAGAAGAAGGGTAGGACTTTGAGAAGCTTTCAGGGCAGGAAAGACATAGTCATATTTCTAATTATATGCAGAGGAAGTACAAAGCAATTCCTTCCACATCAGACCGACTTGTAAAGTTCTAAAGATAGCCCAATGTCTACATTATTTGGTTACCCAAGTCACAGTGGTTATGAAGCTGGATGTTGTGCTTTACTTGATACTTAATTAGGAATTGCATGCATTAGAAAAATTATATCTTTCTTTTAGCATCACTATCCCACTGCAGAAATGGCAAGTAGGAGAATGCAATTTTATGCATGAATCAACTATATCATTCATGCAAAGGGATCATGTACCACCTTTGCTGAAAGAACCGTTGGTAATATAAACTTCCCTAGAGTATTAGTGATACAAGATCCTTTTGCATACTGATATCTCAGGCTAACACAACTACATCTTTGAATTTTGTCCTCTAGTCTAAATCATCCAGGGCTGCCTGAGGCAAAGGACAAAATGGTCAGCACTCACTCATTCACACATCAGCATGTGTTGCAGGAGGCAACTGCCTCACTCTGCCTAAAAACAGGGGCAGCCACAGTGCACAGAAAGCGTAGAATATTGTATCAGGAGATTTCAGCTGGATCTGCTTTATGATTCTGGCTTACCTTTCATATTCACGCAGAGCAAGTATTATTCCTAGCTGCTCATGCAGTCATGTGAATGGAGCGTATACACCTTATGGAAACTTCATGGAATAGGCTAGTCTGGAAAATAGGATCTGGCATAAGGTCATTCTAGCACAAAGTCATTCATTGTTGAAGTATTTTCCATTTCCATTGGGATCTCTCCAAGTATCGAAGTTTACCCACTCTAGTCTAGTCTGCCCCAAACTTGCTGCCTTTATTTATTTATTTATTTTATTTATACCCCACTTTTCTCCCCGAGGGAACTCAAGGCAGCTAGCAACCACACACTTGGATCAATTTTAAACCAGATGAATACAAAACTAAAAAAGAAAACATTTTAATAGTACTGTGTGTCGGTACTATCGTATCAGGAGTGAACCAAGGGTACAGTTGTAATGTATTTGAAAAACAAACAAACAAAAAAAAACTCCCCACAATTTGAAAACTTGGCAAGCTGGCCACTTAGAGTGCCTCTAGTGTTGCTATAAGAAGGTCCTCCATTGTGCACGTGGCAGGGCTCAGACTGCATTGTAATAAGTGATCTGTGGTTTGCTCTTCTCCACACTTGCATGTTGTGGACTCCACTTTGTGGCCCTATTTCTTAAGGTTGACTCTACATCTCATTAAGAGCCATATCCACTGTTTCAGTGTGGCGATATGTGTTCCACACTGGGCATGTGTACCCAGCAGCAGAGTAGCAAAGCACACGGGCAGATGTCTTCACTGCATCTGGTTGTTATCCCCAGGTTGTGCTAGTCAGCTTTTGTATGATATTGTTTCTAGCACCCACTTTTTGCTTGATATTCAGGCAGTGCTTCTTGTAGGTCACAGAACGGTCCAGGGTAACTCCTAGGTATTTGGGTGGGCTGCAATGCTCCAGTGGGACTCCTTCCCAGATAATTCTCAGAGCTTGAGATGCTTGTCTGTTCTTAAGATGAAAAGCACAGTTAAGTTAAAAATATAGTTAAAACATAATAAATGCAATTAACATGCATTCTAAACACTAACACACACACACACACAAATCCCACCCACAACCTCCCCAGCAGTGTGCCCCTTATCCTTCTTCATACGCCTGCTGGCAGAGAAAGGCCTTGACCTTGTGAAAGGCCAGCAGGGATGGAGCCCTCCTGGTCTCTCTTGGGAGTGAGTCCTACAGTTTGGGAGCAGCCACCGAAAAGGCCCTCTCCCATGTTCCCATCAGATGTGCTGTATTGAAGTAAAATTCCCATCAGCCTCAAGCACTGTAGCCAATTGTTTGGGATGATATAAGTAAAAGTCCAAAATATCTGTGGGGACAAAAGAGTGGGCTCTAGGATCCCCCACATATTCTGCATTCTAACACAAATATAGACTGTATGTCTAAAAGTCATCATAAGATTATCTGTCTAGATCAGGGGTCCTCAAACTTTTTAAACAGAGGGCCAGGTCACAGTCCCTCAAAATGTTGGAGGGCCGGATTAAAATTTGCAAAAAACATGAATGAACTCCTATGCACAATGCATATATCTTATTTGTAATGCAAAAAACACACACTTAAAAACAATACAATAATTAAAATGAAGAACAATTCATATAACAAATATAAACTTATTAGTATTTCAATGGGAAGTGCGGACCTGCTTTTGGCTGATGAGATAGGATTGTTGTTGTTGTTGTTGTTGTTGTTGTTCTGTGCTTTCAAGTCATTTCAGACTTAGGTTAACCCTGAGCGAGGGCCGGATAAATGACCTTGGAGGGCCGTATCCGGCCCCCAGGCCTTAGTTTGAGGACCCCTGGTCTAGATCATAGGTTTGAAATCACAATGACTACCTAAAGTATGGATCGCTTCATGGTCATCTTGTAACCACTATTTTTTATATGAGTATCCACATTTTTATATGAGAGTGGGTCCCCTTCCACACAGCGGAATGAAATCCACATTTTCTACTTTGAACTGGGATATATGGCAGTGTGGACTTACATAGGGCCTTCCACACAGCCCAATATCCCAGAATATCAAGGCAGAAAATCCCACATTATCTGAATGTGGACTCGATAACCCAGTTCAAAGCAGATATTGTGAGATTTTCTGCCTTGATATTCTGAGATATAGGGTTGTGTGGAAGGGCCCTCAGATAACCCATTCAAAGCAGATATTGTGGAATTTTCTGCCTTGATATTCTGGGTTATACAGCTGTGTGGAAGGGCCCTAAGTCACAATGCAGCAGAATGCTGAATGCCTTTGGTTATGTGACAGTGTCCCTTTGCTGCTTGTAAAGATACTATCTGTGCAATGTTTTACCAACAGAGCTCTGTTTTTAATTATGCAATACTCTGTTTAATGTCCAAACTTTTATTGGTTTTGACTGGCAGGCTTCGGTTTAAAGCAGAAATATCAGAGACTATACAGGTAGGTAAGCACTGAACTGTAATGGTGCAATCAAAGACCACATAAGGAAGCTTCATAAGGATTCCAGTGACAACAGATTCAAGTGACTTTCAAAGAGAGCTTTGTATATAGAGAACTTTGATATCAATTATTCTGATCCCAATTGTTACCTAATTGTTAACTCTATCAATCATTCTTAGTTTTATAAACTGTTTTCTAAGGAAGTTTTAAGCTATTTTTAAAAACATCCTGGATCATTAGGTTCCATAACAATTATTTGTAGTGAAATTTGGGAATTACAGCAATATATGGTTTAACTAACCAAACAATTGTTTTGTACTAAAGTCTGAACTTGGCAATAGAGTGTGAAAAGAAAAAAAGTATGAGTTAGCCCCCATTGTTCACAGAAAATAAGATTTGTTCTTCTTGTTTTTTTTCTTTCTTTTTAACAACAATCTTTCGATTCTGTTTTTAGACCTGAAGTTACACTTGCAAACTACAGACTATGGGAATTTCTTGGCCAATGAAACTGGTCCATTGACTGTTTCTGTCATTGATGACAAACTAAAATCCAAATTACTGGCAGAATTTCAGTATTTTCGAAACCATGCCTTTGAACCACTTTCTACATTCCTAAACTTCATAACGTAAGTAAAGTTACCTGCTTCAATATTGGAGATTTTATGTATAAATTAAACAACATCCTAAGAATGCACTCAACACTAGCACTTCCCCATAGTGCCTCTAACTGATTTTATATTCATTATGTTATTTCTATGCTTACATTTTTGTATTAAATTCTTTTTATTTTATTGTTTGTCACTGGATGAAAATTTAAGATTACAGCAACCACTTAAAGTATCTCTAAAAATACATCACAAAAAGACAAAGAAAGGGAATACAGTTTTGCATATTTGAATTATTTAGGTATATTGACATAGTATATCGACTAATATAGAAAAATGTTATGCAGGCCTATGACTTTCTTTTATCCTCCTTATGGTGATGAGTAGAGATATTTAATAGCCACATTTACATAGATTCCCAGATGTCATTGACTGGTATTAAGTCTTAGGCATTGAGGAGAAATCTCAGCTTGAGCATGCTAACTTAAAAATATGTGTATGCACATTTTCGTCATTATTAAGGCATGGTATTATTTATTTGAATCATAAATTCCATGTAACTCAGGTTGGTGATTATTGCAGCCTGCTTAATGACATTACCAGGGATTGTCCCTTATAATATCACTTTTGTAAAACAGAACAATGGACTTTAGAGTTAGAAAATAATGCCAATGGCCATCTATTGCAACCGCCTATCAATGTAGGAATCCATCACTAAAGTGGCCCTAAGAAGTAGGCAACCAAACCCAAGTTAAACATTTCTCAAGGTTTTTAAAACTTCAATTAATATGTTATCTCTAGGAATCTCTAGGTCCCCTAGCACAATCTATCATCTAGAGAACCTAGAGCAGTGGTTCTCAACCTATGGGTCCCCAGATGTTTTGGCCTTCCACTCTGAGAAATCCTAACAGCTGGTAAACTGGCTGGGATTTCTGGGAGTTGTAGGCCAAAACATCTGGGGACGCATGGGTTGAGAACCACTGACCTAGAGAGAACATATTCATCAATTCCACAAATAGCCAGATCTAAAATAAAAGAAGATTTTAAAACAGAAGTTGGATGCTCCCCTTTAAAGAATTCATTTTTGGACGTGACCTGTGCAAACACTAGGGGCTATTCCTGTGGTCTCAGGTTTTCATCCCGTAGGCCTAGGGTACATCTAACCTGGCTATGCCTTACCTTCAAACATTTTACAGAGGAAAATAAAGACACCAAAGTGAATTTGTGAGGTTTGTGGCTGAGCAGCATGAGATTGAGATGACAAAGTTGTGGCCAAGTGTAAATGGACATCTGTGAAAAGTTGGAGGGTATGATGAAAAATATGCATATCACTCTATATCATGGAAGTTAAGGAGACATATACATCAATATTTCAAACAATCAAAGATAAACAGACTAAAAGCATAACAAACAATTTAATATTAATATATTGATGAGTTTTTTACATGTTGCTTTCCTTTGCCTTTTTCTACTGTGGCACCCTGTAAACAAATCATGATGAGAAACAACTAGAAGCTATTTTGCAAAGTCCTGCTTATTTTATTCAGTTTTCACATTTGCCAAAGTTTGGTGGCTGCTGGGATTTTATTTCATGTGGATTTTCTTTTCCCCTAGGAAGAAAGAAATTGTTTATCGAATTTTTCTTTTCTCCCATTAGGTACAGCTACATGATTGACAATGTAATTCTGCTCATTACTGGCACACTGCGCCAACGACCTATAGATGAACTGGTTCTGAAGTGCCATCCCTTGGGCAACTTTGAACAAATGGAAGCTGTTAGTATTGCTCCAAATCCTGCCGAATTGTTTAATGCAATCTTGGTGGACACACCATTAGGTATGTCTCTTAACAATGTATGAATGTAAACAGAATGAGAAAGGATAGGTCAACGGAGCCCCTAGAACCCCAAATATTTGAAATAAAAAGGCCCTCTCCTAAAGTCCCTAAAAATGCCTTGCAGAACTTTTTTAAAAAAGCAATATTGCCCACATATTTCCTAAGGAACATAAGCAAATTATTCAGTCATTTTCTTAAAGTTTTAAAAATTTCAGGTGGCACGGCACAAAATTGTGGGCTTTCCAAGGTCTTTTTTGGTATTTCTCCTCCCACCCCCTTGCACATACACACACCTTTCAGCCTTCTGCTCCTCCCACTCCTTCTTCCTCTTCCTTTTTCCCTACTCTGAGCATGTTCTCTTGCTTATTTTGTTGTGTTGTGTTTGTTTGTTTTCTGCCTTTTCCTCAAAACTGGAATTCAAAGTGGCTTACAATTTAAAGAACAATATAGCTAAAATACAAAGGTGATGATCAAAATTAAATCAAACTATTGAAAAAATTCTCATTTTTACTTCTCTTGTTTTCCTTCTCCTCACATTGAGCATTGTCTACAGAATATTTTTAACAAAAAGAAAAAGAAGAAAAGAAAAAGTAAGAGCTATTACATATGCCCGCCATAGCTGTGAGTGAAACGTCAGGAGATATTGCTTTTGGAACATGGTCATACAGCCCGGAAAACTCACAGCAACCCAGTGATTCCAGCCATGAAAGCCTTCGACAACACATTCTACCACCTATCATTGGTGGGCTTCATTTGGTTTCATGTCTGCTTCACAAGTTTATAATTTTACAGTGACCAATTAATTAATGAATCCTAGAAAAAAGGAGTATATGCAGTATCTCAAGAGCTATTCATGCAATCCCACTGGGCAGGAATGGTGTAGCTCTTTGTAGCTCTTGGTCTACAATCAATCATATTCAGTATGGCTGAAGGCAAAGAGCTGTAGTGGTTCCAACATATCTGTGCAGCCAATTGTATCTTGTTCATAAGGTAAGGTTTACGACAGAGGTGAGCAAATTTGAAAGGTATGGGCAGCAATTTTCTGCCCTCAGACTATCTTGCATCCCTAAAGGATATCAAAAGAGACACACAAAAAAAACCTAGAAGTGACCAGAAGTCCACTTCAGGCTAGAAAAAACAATGAAAGGGGGGGATAAATAATACAGAGTACCATCTGATGATGAATTGCCCCTCTTGGAGGATCTAATGAATAGCAATTCATCCTTTTTACAAACAAAAACAAACAAACCAACAAACAAACAGTAAACCTGGAAGGATTGTGGGCTGCATAAACAGCCTTTGAGGACAATATGTAGCCCCCAAGTTGATACTTAGTCTAATAAAATCTGCTGTTATTCTGTAGCATAGATACAGACTAGGTTAGGTCATTCTCTCCTTCACTCAAGACATTTGGACAACCTTTGGCCACTGACAGGTTGTTACAGAAATATTTCAATATAACATTATCTGCACTGATATATTTATATTACTGCTAATTTTAATGGGATATTTAATTAAATATTTTTTTGATTTTAGCCATATTTTGTTTTAATTACATTTTGAGCCTCCTTGCATCCCTTACAGGGAGAAAGGTGGAATAATAGCATGTAAATAAATCTTCTGCAATCTCTTATCATTGATTGGATATAACAGAGGTATTCTCCAAGCATACAGCTGAGAAGCTCTGGGCACCTCTCTGTATGAAGAAAAGATGGCATGGATGTTTAGTAGGGAAGACACTGTGTAATTTCAGAGGGGAGGAAACCCTTTAGAAGAACATTGCATGATGTTATCAATCTATACAAACTTGATTCTAGGTGGAAGTAATCTTGCCCCTGGGGCCATTACGGGTTGTATTTTTAACCAATGTCTTCATCTTTAGTCATATTAGGGGAAATTGAGCTTGATTTTTTTTTAAAAAAAAATGTCTGCTTTCAGCTGATTTCTTTCAAGACTGTGTATCTGAAACTGACCTGGATGAAATGAACATTGAAATCATGCGCAACAAGCTATATAAGGTACATACTGTAATCATAACATTCACCTTGATTGAGAACAGAATGTAGTATAGGATAGTATAGTATGACCCCTATGTTCATGGGATACATATCAACAGCTTCATTTATCCATGATCAACGAAATACGTCCTCTCTAGATATTTTTTCTAGGTTCTTTAGCCAATTCTATGGTATACTTCTGACAAAAGTTGATGATGCAGTCATGCTAAAGAACTCAGCAAGAGATGGGTCCTTTCTAGACATTTCCTAGGTCTTCCAATGCAATTGTATGGCATACTTCTGCTAGAAGTAACTTATTCAGTAAGGTTTGCTTTAACCTGTGGTTTCACATATCTATGTGGTGAAGTTCTGAAGCCTATCTCAAGAGGACATGTTGTTTGTACTGTTCAGATGCAAGCCATGTTGATCATTTCAGATTTTGGAGTATACCATAAGGGATGCTCCACCTGTACCATAACTTGACCAAATCCATAGAACAGCCTGGAATAAACTACAGTGAAACTGTGCTTTACAATGGGAAATGCATTCCACCTGTATCTCCATACTTTGGCTCTGACCCATGAAAATTCAAAAGAGATACTGTATTTGTAGCACCACCTAAAGAACTACAACTGGGAGAGTATATTGATCTGTGCATCTTCACTACTGCCATTAATCTGGCCGTAAATGATGGAGACATAAGCAGTTTGCTCTCAACCCAGCTTCTGCAGATTATATTGTGGGCTTTGTGAAGAAGCCAATCCATTAGTTTTGCTTTCCTTCTGCAGTGAGCAAATAGGAAGCTACTGATACTTCCCACATGCATTAAATTAATAAAACCTTACTAAAGTTTGTTGCTGATTCTCCAAAGAAGATTTGAAAATGATGTTTCATTGTTCTCTTCTGTTCTTTAGTCTTACCTTGAGGCATATTATACTTTCTGCAAAACACAAGGTGGTAGTACAGCAGATGTGATGTGCCCACTTTTGGAGGTAAGACCATTTTAGTCACTGTGTAATAAACCTGGTTGCCAAAAACATCACTTGAAAGTGGCCTGTAGGGTCTGTAATAATCATGTGGTTGGACATTTGTGGTTTTGCAGTTGGCCTCATTTGAGTTTTTGATATATATATTTTTGGTAGGTCACTGTGCTCTACAGCCTGGATTGGTTGTATTTTATCCTTCCTCAGTTTTATAAGTGAATTTGAGTCAAACACTAGTGGTCATATTAAATTTAATTTAATACAATGATTTTTTATGCTAAAAAACCACCTCACTTTAAAACACAACAACCAAGAGTCAAATTAGATGCTATATAAAATAAATAATGTGCAGTTTAGGACCTTTATCCTTTTTTCACAGCAACATAAGTGTTTGCAGTTTCTGATTATTTATTTATTTGTTTATTTACTTATGAGCCTTAATGAACTACTTTAATCCAAAAATTAAATATGAGGTGCAACAATAATGAAGCATGACATAGACACAACATGCAAATACACAATATACAACATAACATGCACTGTTTAAGTTGTTGTGAAAAATCTTGGATAAGGCTTGCACAGATATGCATTTTTTTTTAAAAAAAAGCTAGATAGTTTTTTTATTTTAAAATGCAGGCTTTTGTATGTATATATTTTTTATTAAAATTGAAGAACATTTAAACCTTGTCCACGCATGTGTTCTAGTCAGAATTGAGATTGGACTCATTATGTTTACATCACAGTAAAAACATAGGGATTTCAAATTGCACCCCAGGCTTTCAATTAGATCTTAACAAATTACATTGTAATACTAAACATAGGGAAGGCTTAGTAATCATTACCTGCTTCATGGTTTTTTACACTAGCACTCAATTCTGGACTCACTCTGAACGGACTACAAGTTGTCCCCATGACACACAGTGACTTCCAGTGAGTTTCACATATTATTTTGTTTTAAATCGATTTGATTCCACTACAGGAATTAGGGGAAATTCTGAAGTTTGCTGGAAACTATGGTATATCCTGCAGTTTTAAGGCACTGAACAGCAGGATCAGTTCCATTCAGCCTGATCCACTGTCTGACTGGAAATTGGTGTCATCACCCTTTTCTTGCACTCATCAGCACAGGGCAAGGGAATGGATCCTGTCCATGATGCCCCCTTCGTCTTTGCTTGTTTTCAGAGTGCCTCATTCTGGCATCAGCAGAAATAGTCACAATGGCCAGGAACTCCGTGGCTAGCTAGGAATAGTGGTGGTGATGGCAACACATTGGGATGTGGACCACACCATTGTAGTGGATGCACTCCTGGGCTGTGTAGACAATGTCTCCAAATTTAATTGATCTGGGGCAGGTTTACACTGGGCTGAAGTGCCTTGTGTCTAGGAATATTGTGTCAGGCTGTTTATTCATTTTCCTGCCTGAAATGAAAGAAAAGATGGTGACCCTTTCCTACATCATTCCCAGTGCAGGAGAGGACAGGACTAGTAGTTGAATTTTTGTATCAACATAGATGTGGAGGCAAAGATTACTGCAGATGCAGACTGTAGCCAGGAAATCAGAAGACGCTTACTTCTTGGGAGGAGAGCAATGTCCAGTCTCGATAAAATAGTAAAGAGTAGAGACATCACACTGGCAACAAAGATCCGCCTAGTCAAAGCCATGGTATTCCCTGTAGTAACCTACGGATGTGAGAGCTGGACCTTAGGGAACGCTGAGCGAAGGAAGATCGATGCTTTTGAGCTGTGGTGTTGGAGGAAAGTTCTGAGAGTGCCTTGGACTGCGAGAAGATCCAACCAGTCCATCCTCCAGGAAATAAAGCCCGACTGCTCACTGGAGGGAAGGATACTAGAGACAAAGTTGAAGTACTTTGGCCACATCATGAGGAGACAGCAAAGCCTAGAGAAGACAATTATGCTGGGGAAAGTGGAAGGCAAAAGGAAGAGGGGCCGACTAAGGGCAAGATGGATGGATGGCATCCTTGAAGTGACTGGACTGACCTTGAGGGAGCTGGGGGTGGTAACGGCCGACAGGGAGCTCTGGCGTGGGCTGGTCCATGAGGTCACGAAGAGTCGGAGACGACTGAACGAATGAACAACAACAAAGATGTGGAGGCAGTATCCACTAGGTTCAGAGGTACAGGACAGGCTGTTTGATATACCTCTGTGGCATTCAAGATAAATGACTGCTGCTCTGTTTTCCAAACTCTGTCCTCTGAAACAGTCATTTTACTCTGCCTAATGGTATATCTGGCCCTCTGTATTTTTCCCTGTTAATGGTAATATCTTCAGAGAGATTAAAAAACAAACAATCATGAAGCTGGGGGTCAGCGAACTGGAAATCAGAAGACGCTTACTTCTTGGGAGGAGAGCAATGTCCAATCTCGATAAAATAGTGAAGAGTAGAGACATCACACTGGCAACAAAGATCTGCATAGTTAAAGAAATGGTATTCCCCATAGTCACCTACAGATGTGAGAGCTGGACCATAAGGAAGGCTGAGCGAAGGAAGATAGATGCTTTTGAACTGTGGTGTTGGAGGAAAGTTCTGAGAGTGCCTTGGACTGCAAGAAGATCAAATTAGTCCATCTACCAGGAAATAAAGCCCGACTGCTCATTGGAGGGAAGGATATTAGAGGCAAAGATGAAGTATTTTGGCCACATCATGAGAAGAAAGGAAAGCTTAGAGAAGACAATGATGCTGGGGAAAATGGAAGGAAAAGGAAAGAGGGGCCGACCAAGAGCAAGATGGATGGATGGGATCACTGAAGTGACTTTCTTGACTCTGAAGGAACTGGGGGAGGTGATGGCCAACAGGGCACTCTGGCATGGGATGGTCCATGAAGTCACAAAGAGTTGGAAGCAACTGAATGAATGAACAACAACAACAACATGAAACTGTGATTAATTATACACTCACATGTTAATAGCATTCATTCAGAAGAAAAGAAATAATAGTTTGAATCCATCATTCATGTAAATCTTTTGGACAGAGTCTCATATATTGAATGCTGTGACGTGTTGTAATAGATTTACAAAATTGACGGCTACAAAATAGCACTGGGGTGGAATGCCGCAGATCTGGTATTTTTAATTCTGCTCCAGACATTCTGGCTGGCATATCATCATCTGCCTCTTTATGTAATTAATTTATTGCAGGTAGATCCTGAATAGGATGATGCCATTGTTGTGCTGCTTATATTATGCATTACATATTTTCAGTTTGCCTCCATTGCTCTGATTATAATACACTGTCCCACTTGTTTGTCCATATCAGGGTGATTTGGACTAAAATAAGTAAATGTGAGGCTGATAAAAAGTGCATTAAAACTGTTTATAAAATTTAAAATATTGCAAAGTACAGATCTCATGTAAAATCCTGAAATGGGAGACCCGAGCATTTTTAGAATCCACATTATATATTATAGGCACGGATTATGTGAAAAATGGAGCCCCCGGTGGTACAGTGGGTTAAACCGTTGCATTGCTGAACTTGCTGACCAAAAGGTCAGCGGTTCGAATCCAGGGAGCAGACTGAGTTCCCACTATTACCCCTAGCTTCTGCCAACTTAGCAGTTTGAAAACATGCAAATGTGAGTTGATCAATAGGTACCGCTCTGGTGGGAAGGTAATGGCAGTCCATGCAGTCATGCTGGCCACATGACCTTGGAAGCATCTACAGACAACGCCGGCTCTTCAGCTTAGAAATGGAGATGAGCACCAACTCTCAGAGTGAGACACAACTAGACTTAATGTCAAGGGAAAACCTTTACCTATGTGAAAAATAACATATGTCCAATACATATCTGCCTGAATTTGGTAACATTAAGAGCTGGCAGTGCAAATGAAAACATGCAATTAAGCAGGCACATACATATTTTTAACAGAAATCTATCGTACAAATCCACTAGATTTTTTTCTCACTTTCAAAAAGAAAGGGAATTCATGTTCAGTTCAATACCACTGACTGTCATTATAGTCTGTCTACAAGGATACTAAGGCCCCTTCTACACGGCCATATAAATTCAGATTATCTCCTTTGAACTGGATTATATGGCAGTGTAGACTCATAAAATCCAGTTCAATGCCAATAATGTGCATTATCTGCTTTGATAATCTGGATTATATGGTAATGCAGAAGGGGCCTCAGTATGTATGAAAGTATCATTCAAGATATCTTTGACATCCAAATGTTAGTTTACGCATATAAGCACACAGATTTGGATCATGCATTCTCTACCATAAAAATATAGGTCTCAATGACTTTTGTGGACTGAAATGTAAAACTTCACATATATCTCAAATTGGTATAAAGTGAGGTACAGGCTCCTGTTTAAGTCTTCTTTGCCAGGGTGCTCCTACCCACAAGGAAACTAAATGTAAAACTAAATCATGTATGAAGGAAGAGAGTCACTGCCAAGAATCAGACAGGTAGAATTTTCTAATCAAAACTTGGCACGTTTCACTCGTTTTTTATTGACTTCTGCTGCATAGTTGCTAATAGTGTTTGCACTTATTCAAAGGCCTTTTGTGTTATCTTTCATTACTAGAAATAACGTGAATTCCCAATTGGCAGAAAATATGTTTCGTTAACCTTTCCGTTATTAAAAACAAAACAAACCATTTGTTCAGAAATCTTGCAGCTGCTTTCTATCAGCCATGGCAAAGGAAAAGAAATGTGAGTCCCCCCTTCAAAACTTATGGTTAACATTTAACTTAATAGGCAACATCTCCCAAATGATTTCCAATGATTAAAACTGTATGACTTCAAATTGATTAAAAGCGTTCTTTTTAAAATTCAGTTTGAAGCAGACCGACGGGCTTTTATTATCACCATCAATTCATTTGGCACTGAACTAAGTAAAGAAGACAGACAGAAGCTGTATCCAACGTGCGGGAAACTGTATCCAGAAGGCTTAGATATGCTTGCCAAAGCCGAGGATTATGAACAAGTGAAGGGCGTTGCAGACTACTACGCTGTATGTAAATACAAGATAGCTACTAACAAAAGCATGCTGTGTTTACAACATTCCATGGTGTGCCATGCCAAAGAAAGAACATTAGGTATTTGTTCTGCCGGATTCTAAATGAAAGGAAGTTGAGAAAGAGCTGATTCTCACCAAGACTAAGGCCTGTTCTACACTGCCATATAATCCAGATTATCAAAGCAGATAATCCACATTATCTGCTTTGAACTGGATTATATGAGTCTATACTGCCATATAATCCAGTTCAAAGCAGATAATCTGGATTTTATATGGCAGTGTAGACTCATATAATCCAGTGTAGAAGGAGCCTCGGGGAAGTGCATTCAACAGTTTGACTAGTTGTGGCAGAAAAATCTCACTGACCAAAGAGTTTGACTGCCCACCATTAATAACATGGCTGGTATAAGCGGTGAGCAATAGGGTGGCTTCATGATGTAATGGTCTGAATGTTAAACTTAGCATCTTGGAGATAATGCTTCAGATTTCAGGTCAGCCATGGAATTCTACTAAGTGACCTTGGGGGAAATCACACCCACTCAGCTGAAGAGAAAGTGCTTGTAGTGGCCATCTCCTTTGAATAAATTTTGCCAAGAAAATCCTATGATAAGGTTGTCATAAGTTGCAGTTGACTTGAAGGCATGTAAGAACAAGAAGAGTGGTAAGCAAGAAGAACAAGCCCAGACCTGTTAATGCAGAAGTGGGGAAAAGTAGCCCCCAGGCCTTCCAAGTTTCACCCACAAGTTTCTTTTTCTTTTATCTGTGATTCATGATCTAAGATAAAAGCAAAAAAAGCGGTGCAAGGACTGTTGCGTGGAACTATGTTCTAGTATGCTATTGGGTAACTGTTGCACCAGGGTTAGTTGGTAAATATGCGTAAACTTATTTTAATTTGTATGATGTGTTGGGAAATGTTCACACTAATTGACTCTGCCCACTTCACTTTGGTCCTCTCAAAATCACTGAATGTATGAATCTGGCTTTTGAGAATGCTACCAAATTGGCATTTGAGGGCCTGTTCAATTGAGGTGGCTGATGGATCTGCTGTTATGGGGTGTGCAAATTCATTCTGGACTTTACCACTGGAATTGTTCTTTATACAACCAGCCTATCAGTGCAGTGTCATATTTTGACACTGGCAAAATTCTCATTCAACTCAGTGAGAGGAAGCCAGCACTAAAATTGCCATCATAGTACTGGTGGATCCATCAGTTACCTCTGTATCTTAGAGACATAATTCTTTCTTGTTTTGGGACTATACCTGAGGTCTTTTCCACATCAGAATGGAGTGTATACCAGAGGTCCCCCACATTTTATATAAAATTTCCTGAAATTCTATCCAACTCTGAGATGATAGTATACTACCCTCCTAAGATGATGGTGAGCATGTTCCCAAAATACAACCAGACATCATAAATTTAGAAATGAATCAGGTTGAACTAGGGAGGAGAACTAATAAATGTGTGTGGTGGCATCCAAGTAAAGGTAACTAGAGTTGCATCCCCATTGACCACAAGGCCAAGGAAGAATAAGGCCAGTCATAGTCAGCTTAAAATAGCCACTGATCACAGACTATTGCTTTTTCATGCAACATAGGGCATTTTTCCAATCATTGTGTAATCTACCTACTGGCCAAAGCAAGAAGATTGGAATGAAACACAGCCATAGGGAATCCCATTTAATTTGTTCTCTACACTTGCAAGTTTGACTTTTGCAAATTTGATAATTTTTGGATTTGATGAAAATGTTCTTTCCAGTTCAGACAATGCAATTATGTGGTGAACGTTCAACAGAAGTTGACCATAGACCTAGATAAGTTCTCTCTCAAGTAAAAGAATAGTAGAGGTTTATTATTATTATTATTATTATTTGCAGAGGTCTTGCCTCCCTAAATTTAGTGAATGTGGAAGGCTGACTGTATATGTTTTCAAACAAATGCATTTGACATTAGTGTCCTCTGTTCCACACTGCATAGAAGATGCATTGAAAGGCATGCTCCATCTACACAAAAACAGGAGACAATGTCACTGCATTTAAGATAACAATGACCTTACTTTGTAAACATAGCTGATGCATGCACACACACTGCCCTATTTTAAATAGGACCATTGATCTATCTGGCTCAGTATGATCTGTACTGATTTGCAGCAACTTCCTAGATCTTCAGTCAATCGTCCTTTCCAACCTTGCCTTTCTAGCTTTTATGTGTTTTGTATGGCACTATCTGCCAACCTAGCAGTTCGAAAACATGCAAATGTGAGTAGATCAATAGGTACCGCTCCGGCGGGAAGGTAACGGAACTCCATGCAGTCATGCCGGCCACATGACCTTGGAGGTGTCTACAGACAATGCTGGCTCTTTGGCTTAGAAATGGAGATGAACACCACACCCCAGAGTCAGACATGACTGGACTTAATGTCAGGGGACTACCTTTACCTTTACCTATGGCACTATCACATGCTGCCCTGTAAGCTAACCCGAGTCCCTTGCGGGAGATGGTGGCGGGATATAAATAAAGTTGTTGTTGTTGTTGTTGTTGTTGTTTAAGGGCAAAGACTGGGACTTCTACATGAAAAGCATGTGTTCTGTCACTAAGCCAATATAATTACTTGCAAGAAGTCCTGTGGAGAAAAACAAACACTAATTGATATTCATTGGCTACAACAGTTTGATCCCACCCAAAGATTCTATTTACAAAAAGTTTACTTATAAAAAATGGAAATAATATAAGTAAGCTAAATAAAAGGTGTGGTGGTTGTGCTTTCAGGAATACAGGGCTTGCTTTGAAGCAATAGGAAGCGGTTCAGGTGAAAAAACACTAGAAGATGCTTTTTTTGAATATGAGGTAAGATTTTTTTCCCTCTGACTTAAAGTTCTTGCTGCACTATATTGATTTAACCTTCAACTTACTCAGAGTCAGTTATGAAAGAAATTGGTGATGGGCATTCAGGAGGTGGCATTGTTCACAGTAAACAAAGAGCTGCTATGAAGTCACTTGTCAAGTCTATATTTTTTCAATCTTATCAGATTTGAATCTGCTGAATATGTAGCTAACCCAGGGCACACTTTTCAGCTACATTTTGCCATCTCATTCCCAAGTAAATAAGTATGCAATGTAAATACTTTGAAAAAGTGTGTGCAATTTTCTTTTATTATGCAAAAGTAAGCCCAAAAACCCCCATGCCCAAGGTTTTATTTATTCACACCTGACAAAAATATCTTCTCTAGATATTTTCTAGGTCCTTCAGCATAACTATGATTTTCTTGAGTCATGAGACTTTCATTTCAATACTGTTTGCTATTCTCTGTGATTTTGCAGATACAAGCAGGGCCTGGGAATTTATCCCCTGTGGATGTGAGGGTTGCACTGTATTTTAAAAAGTGGGCATATTAGGAAAGGTGCATACAAAATGTGTGTATTAAGAATAAGAAAGATTCACACTTCAAAAATGGATGCAGTTTTGGGAGAAACTGTCTCATTTTCCCAATGAAACAATACCTAGGAACTAAAATAATGGGATTCCATCTGGAATAGGTCTACCTCACTGCATATTGCACTACTGCATCTGTTGGAGAAGCATTCATTTCTTCAGGGACTATTCTTTATTGATTCTGGCCCTGTTGCCATAAAGCTTCAGCCATGGCTCCGCTTCAGTCCAGCAGCTATTGAGAAAAGCAAATGCAATGTTTCATTTTATGTGGCTGCTTATAAAGCACTTTAGGATCCTTGTGAATAAACAACATAATGCACAATTAATATTTTTTCTTAATAAAGTTTATTTCTCATACCTTTTTCTGTAGGTCAAAATGAATGTGCTAGCCTTCAACAACCAGTTCCATTTTGGAGTATTTTATGCCTATGTAAAGCTGAAAGAACAAGAAAGCAGAAATGTTGTATGGATTGCTGAATGCATCTCACAGAGGCACAGAACAAAAATTAACAACTATATTCCAATTTTCTGAAGTACATATTAACAACGGATGTCAACATCATCATATGTACCTAGTACATTTAATATATGCTTCTTCAATTGCCAATCATTTTGCAGAAAGAAGGCAGGCCATCCTTTAGGGCCATCAAAAGAAACATCTTAGAAATTATTTATAGAGCTATTCAAGTGAAGAAACTCATTCTACAAATTTGGCAATTTTGAGTCATAACAATACTGCAGATTCCCAAATAAAAGATGATTCTGTGTCCTATTTGAAAGATGATAGTCCTCTATTTCAGTGTTTCCTTAAACTGTTACAGAGAACTTGCAATTTCCCTCACTCATGTGCAGGATCCAGTATCATATATGTGTCCGATGGCTACAATTGCTTTTCATTTCCCCAGATGCCTTGGAGACCAGCACCAGGCACAGACCACCATGTTGAGTCCACAGCTATATCTGAAGCCATCTTCTCCTTGAAGGGCCCATTGACTCAGCTTAAAGATAAAAGATAGACAAGGGAACAGCAGAGACCCTCAAGAACCTCACTAACATTTAGTACCCAGACACTTTTGTTGAATTGAATTTTTCTGCTTCTTGGCAGGGGGTTGGACTGGATGGCCCACGAGGTCTCTTCCAATTCAAGAATTCTATGATTCTATGACAGTAGTCTGAACATCCATATTCAAACTAATGAGGGATCAGTCATCCTCATTATAGCATAATGCATGTTTAAGCTGCAGTCATTATTCTGAAACTGAATCCATACATATATTACCATGTACAGATTTTATGTAAAATTATAGCCTCATCTGACCTCTCTTTTTTGGCAATGTGTAAGTAGCCTTCCTATCTGAACTAGCACTTTGAACATTATGATATCCCCAAAATGAGTTGCACAACAAAGATAGCTCATCTCTAATACTTGATCATTTTAAGCAGTTCATCTGCAGTAGCCGTATTGTTGAAAGCAGTTTTACTGGCCCCTTTATATTCTATGTGATGTAATGTGATGTAACTATGAAACAAAATCACTAGAGGGATAATGTCTTACTATCTGTTTGGTTATTGAACACTATGCCTAATTGACCAATCATCATTATCATTTTAAATGTATTTGATGTCTTGCATAGAAAATGGTATGAATCCAGATTTTTTTTTTTGCCTAAGCATAAGTAAGGACCTTTCCCCATGATTTCTACTTTGACCTCTAGTCCTAAAATCCTTTCTGGTGGGCCAATTCAGAATTTTTGTTCTGTGGTCAGCTTCTGCTGGATGTTAATCATAAAATTGTACAGGAGACCTCAAAAAGAAGTATTCTATCAGGTAACAAGAAGTTTGTGATTTTTAGTTATAATTGTGGGGTTTGTTTGGTTTTTTGAAGTGTTCTGGGGATCTTTCATCTCTAACCTTCACAAATGTGAAAGGATGGCTATAAAAATAATTCCATAGAATTTTCTTGTGAGTGAATGTAGCATTAATTGCACATTACTTTTCATATCCAAATCTGACCAAAAAAATCAAACAACATAACCTGAGATGTGTAATCATTGTGAGAGTTGCAAAGGGAGATGTCCTCTCAAAGCAAATGGCAACTTCAGAGAAGATGAGTTCCTCTGAACTACTACACCAAGGAGTTAAATTCCTCTTTGAGTTTGATATGATCGTAATAATTATCTGACAACCACCCACAAAACCAAGCTTTTTGCACTTTTTAAATAACACAATAAATCCATCTAACTCCAAAGGACACATCTAACATCATGACCACACAGATATTGTTGTTTATTCATTCAGTCGTTTCCGACTCTTTGTGACCTCATGGACCAGCTCTTTGTCAGCCGTGGCCACCCCCAGCTCCTTCAAGGTCAAGCCAGTCACTTCAAGGATACCAACCATCCATCTTGCCCTTGGTCGGCCTCTCTTCCCTTTTCCCTCCCTTTTCCCTCCCTTTTTCCCAGCATCCCCAAAGACAGAGATTTCTTTCTTGTTAACTACTGTCAAGTCAGCTTCAATTTATTGTGACCCTATAAATAAAAAATCTCCAAATCACCTTGTTATCAATAGCCTTGCTCAGGTCTTGCAAACTCAAGTATGTGACTTCCTTGCTTGAGTCCATCCACCTATAATGGGTTCTCATTCTTTTCTTGCCACCTACTACTTGAATTGTAGAGTGGTAAATACTCCTTTTAAGCTTTATCATTTAATTAAAGTACGCTTCTCACATACCAGATGAAGGGTTTGAGTTAAACATCAAAACTCCTAAGATGCCATGCTTCTGAATCATGAAGGCCAACAAGAAATCGGAAGAATAAAAGCAACTTCTCTACCTAGCAATTATATGTACTTTTAAGATATGTTGCAATAACAGGAGATTGAATTTCCCTAGGACTCCAATAGTGTGTGTTCAGATTTTTAAAAGATGCAATAAATGGAAATGTAGATACAATTGTTTTCTAGAAAATAACTCAAAATCTGTTTGCTGTCATTCAATGCCCAATAATAAAATAATCAAATGCTTGGGTTTTTGTTGGTTTTTTGAGCAGTATGGCCATGTTCTCAAAGCATTATCTCCTAATGTTTCGCCTGCATCTATGGCAAGCATCCTCAGAGGTTGTGAGGTCAACCCAGTGATTCCAACCATGAAAGCCTTCGACAATACAATCAAATGCTTGTTTCTATTTTGAGTGTGCATCAAATGCGTCTCACTATTTTATGTGCATATAGGGTCGTTGTAGGTTTTTCAGGCTGTATGGCCATGTTCTAGAAGCATTCTCTCCTGATGTTTAACCTGCATCTATGACAGGCATCCTCAGAGATTATGAGGTCTATTGGAAACTAGGAAAATTGGGTTTATATATCTGTGGAAAGTCCAGGGTGGGAGAAAGAACTCTTGCCTGTTGTAACTAGGTGTGAAACCTACAGCAACCCAGTGACTCCAGCCATGAAAGCCTTTGACAATACATATGTTGCAAAAATACAGTTCAGCCCCCATATCCACATTTCTAAACTTGGATATGTGGATATGTGAAAAGCAGCTAATAGTGAACCCTGTTGAAAAGAATGTCTTTTGGCCTAAGAATACCATAGAAGTGTCCTGGGTTTCTGCCATCTGCTTCTCTGGCCCTGGAACTCAACAAAAAAGCTCCTGTTTTGTAGCAGGTTTCCTATGAGATGGGTGAGATGGTAGTCCTTTGTGATATCATACATTTTTCTCAGGAGGAGGTGGTGGTTCATAGTATCATAAGCCGCTGACAGGTCTATGAAGACAGCTCCTGTGATCTGCTGCCTTTCAAAGCCATCTTCTATGTGCTGAGTCAGGTTCAGCACTTGCGATGTGCAGCTTTTGCCTTTCCTGAAGCCCTTGCTGTGGAATCAGACATGGGTCTATTTTTTCCATAATTCTATGCAAAATAAGTCTCTCCAGAACTTTGTAGAGGTGGCACAACAGGGAGATTGGTCTGTAGCTTTTTGGATGGCGGAAACAGAAGAATGGCCTGCCTCAGGGGAGCATGCTTGCTCCATCCATGTTCAACATCTACACAAATGACCAGCCACTGCCAGAAGGGACAGAGAGTTTCATCTATGCTGATGATCGTGCCATTACCGCTCAAGCAGGGAGCTTTGAGATGGTTGAACAGAAGCTCTCCGAAGCTCTAGGTGCTCTTACTGCCTATTACAGGGAAAACCAACTGATCCCTAATCCATCTAAAACACAGACATGTGCCTTTCACCTTAAGAACAGACAAGCACCCCGAGCTCTGAATATCACCTGGGAAGGAATCCCACTGGAACATTGCAGCACACCCAAATACCTGGAAGTCACTCTGGACCGTTCTCTGACGTACAAGAAGCACTGCCTGAACATCAAACAAAAAGTGGGTGCTAGAAACAATATCATACGAAAGCTGACTGGCACAACATGGGGATCACAACCAGATACAGTGAAGACATCTGCCCTTGCGCTGTGCTTCTCTGCTGCTGAGTACGCATGCCCAGTGTGGAACACATCTCACCACACTAAAACAGTGGATGTGGCTCTTAATGAGACATGCCGCATTATCACAGGGTGTCTGTGCCCTACACACTGGAGAAATTACACTGCTTAGCCGGTATTGCACCACCTGACATCCGCCGGGAAGTAGCAGCCAATAGTGAAAGGACCAAGGCAGAGACATCTCCAGCTCATCCCCTGTTTGGGTATCAGCCAGCATGTCAACGACTTAAATCAAGAAATAGTTTTCTTAGATCTACAGAGACACTCGCTGGAACACCTCAGCAAGCGAGAGTCCAAAAGTGGCAGGTCCAAACCCAGCACCTCAATGGCTGATACCCAATGAGAGACTCCCTCCTGGGCACACAGAAAACTGGGCGACTTGGAAGGTGCTGAACAGACTGCGCTCTGGCACCACGAGATGCAGAGCCAATCTTAAGAAATGGGGCTACAAAGTGGAATCCACGACATGCGAGTGTGGAGAAGAGCAAACCACTGACCACCTGCTGCAATGCAACCTGAGCCCTGCCACATGCACGATGGAGGACCTTCTTGCGGCAACACCAGAGGCACTCCAAGTGGCCAGATACTGGTCAAAGGACATTTAATCAGCTATCAAGTTTGCAAAATTTTTGTGTTTTTTTAATCTGTTTGTTTGTTTTGCTCTGTTAGAAATGTAATACAATGTTCTGGTTGCGGATGACACGATAAATAAATAAGTGTCCTGGGTACCTAGAAAATGCCTAGGGATTACATATTTTGTCAGACATGGATAAATGAAACCGTGGATGGTGCGGGTCACATTGGACCTGCATATATAACAAGGCTTGATTGTCTTCTTGCTTCATTAATTACACACATTTCCTGGCCTATGCCATGAATGCAAATTCTTCAACTTTGAAGTAAGGCAATGGATTAAGGTATCTATCCTAAACAATTTCTACACTGTTATGCTAATGTAAAAGATTTCCTTTAATGACATTCTTCTAATCATAATGAAGGAAGAGTGGGGCATGCAGCAAAGAGAAAATAAATGGGTTTGATAAGCAGGATCAAAAGCAAAAGCTCAGCACAAATATCTACAAAGCCCTTTATGTATTTTCAAAATGCCAATCTACGCCATCTGAATAAGCAAGCATTGTGTCTGGAACATTCAGCGGAGCATGTCTAAACCCTATAAATTTCTAGTTTGGGACAATGGATGAGGAAGCCCTAAGGCGGGGGTGTTCTTACTGCATCAGTCCAGAAAGAGGGAGAGAAATTTGGAAAGGAGTTGCAATCGTTGGGGATAAGAATAAGGATTAAGCCCTGGTCGCCTTGAATTAGATAGCAGGGTTTTAAATCATGTATTTTATGCATTTGCAAGTAGTTTGTATTTTTATTTCACAGAAGAATTGAAAGGGTCTAGTCCAGTGGTTCTCAACCTGTGGGTCCCCAGATGTTTTGGCTTTCAACTCCCAAAAATCCTAACAGCTGGTAAACTGGCTGGGATTTCTGAGAATTGTAGGCCAAAACACCTGGGGACCTACAGGTTGAGAATCTCTGGTCTAGTCCAACTACCAGCTCTGCAGTAACATAATTGGTTGATTGATTGACTTTTTTTGTGTGAGGAGCAACTTGAGAAAATGCAAGTCACTTCTGGTGTGAGAGAATTGGCCACCTGCAAGGACATTGCCCAGGGGATGCTCAGATGTTTTGATGTTTTACCATCCTTGTGGGAGGCTTCTCTCATGTCCCCACATGGGGAGCTGGAGCTGATAGAGGGAGCTCAACCATGCTCTCCCTGGATTTGAACCTCCGGACTGTCGGTCTTCAGTCCCGACAGTACAAGGGTTTAACACATTGTGTCACTGGGGTCTCCTGACTAACTGACCTCCCAGAATGGGATCCATAGCAGCTTCTAGAAGTTCAAAGGAAAATTCATCTGAAACTTTATTTTATAGAAGTTTAAAGAAAGAATTAAATAATATTATTAAGACGATGATGACATTGATCTCTTACAACACATGTAAAACACAATTACCGGTAAAAATATTCCTTAAAATAAGATAAAAGGAACTAAAGTACAACGCAGCACTTCACACATGATATAAATTAAAACTCAGTGAACTGCCTAAATAAAAAAATGTGTTCTCCCAGCAATGGGGCAAGCCATGGTGATGGCTTTCTTCCACAACTTCACAAAATGTGAGGAACACATAAATGTAGAGAACAGGCCAACCAACCTCAATGTAAAAACTTATAAAGAGGGAGAGTTTGTTTGCTGTATTCATTTATAATCCCCAACAGTCCTGCTCAGGTCTTGCAGGCTGTGGTGTCTCTGATTAAGGCTATAATCTAGAACAGTGTTTCTCAACCTGAGGGTCGGGGAGGGGGGGTTAAAGAGGGGTTGTGAAAGACCATCAGAAAACCCATATTTCTGATTGTCTTAGGAACCCTTTTGGCAGAGAATGCTGAAGATCTCTCAGCTTGTTCTTCCCTTCCTTT